TACAGTCAGAATTTGTGCCTGTGCTTTGAGAATTCATCAGCCAGCTATAAAAGCATAACAATAGCTGGTCAAGGACAGAACATACAATGCCTTTTCACACGGGGCAAAGGCAATCAAGAGATTTCACACATATTTGTGCTGCCTGAGAAACATCCTTAATGTGTGGGGACACAGACAAGGGTAAGAGCAAGAAAGATAAATTATCTTGCTCCTAGCTACAGTCAGCCTGCAGATAGAAGCAGATTGACACAGTTGAGTACAAGCACCACGAGCCAGAGACTGTAAATACCTGTTAGAGTGCAAGCTGGGCTGAGCAAGGAAAAATGCCTCTCTCCTTCTTCCTAGTCCTTCTGCTCATCTTTATCTGTCTCTCCTGGTAATTTTATCATCCTTCTCAGAGAGCAGAGAGAGGATGGAAAGGGTAAGTGGCATTTCTAACCCCGACCCTGGATATTAAGGGTGAGGTATTTAAATCTGTAAAATAGATTTAAGAGTCCTCAGCCTCCAGAGATGAGCTCTTAGATTAGCAGCTCTAAAAACTCTTCCAGAATTACAGCTAAAGCGACTCATACAAAGCCTCCCAGTAATCCCATTTTTTGCACATTTGCAAAAATGGATTGAGGAGGCTCAGAAATATTCAGTCCTTATGAAACCTGGTAGCTTAAGTGGCTACTGCTGCAGACTCCAGCTAATTATGCTACCTAGTGCGGATCCCACAGAAAGATTTAGACCTGAGAAGAAATACGTAAGAAAATGTTGAAAATTTATCTGAAATATTCCTACCTGCCCTCTTCCGAACACCTTCAGTATTCTGCACATGTTGTAAAACTGCTTCTGCTGTGTGATAGTTGGGACTTTTATCGAGAACGCTACATGCCGGGAAACATCTCATTTGCTGGATTCAGGTCTGGCAGTGCATCATTCCTGAGAAGGTTAACATGCCAGGAACCAGCCAGGTGATACAGCCAAGAAGATAAGGGCCAACCTTTAGGTTTCATTCTATCCTTACATACCAATGTAGCATAAACCTCTGTTTTGGACCTGACCTAGGACGTAGCTCGCTGTGCTGCTTTCAGAGGATAGTCCCTGCAGATGTCACCCCTTTACAGAGTACAAATAGCTTTAAAGTCACCTTGTGGAACCCAGAACTAACAAAAGGTCACTACCAAGCTGATTGTGCCACTGTGCCCTGGCATACCCAAGGATCTGCCTTTCCTTATCATTTAAACGACAGAACAGCATACCCTTTTACTCCGTTCCAAACTATGCGTGCAGGTTTCCCTTCATGGAAACTACGTCAGGAGGAGTAAAGCTGCTGAGTGTCTGAACCATGTCCTGTCATTTGCAGGACACGACTAAGGCATGGAAACCTGGAAACATTTCCAATAATTTATATGTGACTATAGGTGGGTACCGCTATAACTATACCTAACCTAATTAGGAACTGTGCCTGGGAAAGCCCCAGAGAATCATTCAAGAGAGAGCCTCAGTTCCACAAGCAGATGTGCTTCAGAGCTTACTATAAATGTGTGTAATGGACAGGAAAATTGGGAGTCTTGCTGTAAGAGCTGCTGGTCACTTTGTCTTCTTGCATTCCTGCACTGGAAAAAAAAAAACAACAAAACCAAACATGGGAGAGCTCTTTGTACTGAAAAACTGATTTCCCGAAATCCTGACTGTGCCCAAGAACAGCACAGTGATGATCTGGACACATGACCATATGGCAGGTCATACGTGCCAGGTGAAGGTCCCAGGAAAAGAGTTTCCACCTTCAGAATATTACTGCTAATCACGCTCCTCCAGACTGCGACAGGCAAAATGCAGAGGACTGCATTAGACTCGTACAGAGGTCTATAAAAGAACAAACACGTTCCGCATGCGGCAAATTTAGTAAAATATTGAAATACAAATAAAAATAGAATACTAGGAAGAATATTATCAATGCATTTTGAAATACAGCAGTAATACTCTTTGACAGTCTCCGATTGAATATTCTTGTTTTGTTTCACTTTAACATTTGCATTTTGTTTTCTCACTTTGATTTGGAACTTATTTTCGAGTACAAAGAATTTACCACAAAACAGGGAAAAAAAAAATGTTGCTTTTCAGTCAAAAGCAAACACTTTGCACTTAACATGGAAACACAGCCCCTTAGAACAGCACGAATCCCTGAACAAAAGAGAAACATAATTTTTTTTCAAAATCAAATATTAGTGATAACTGTAAGGATCACTGTAAATATCATCTACATGAGTAAGGAGCCCACTGAACTTGGGATCTAGCCGCAAAAGCAGCTACGCTAATAACCATAAAATAAACTAGAGTTTACTGAACATTAAGATTGCTGAATATTAAACAAGAAACTTGTAAATTCCAACACACCTGATCATCCTCTAGATGAGCCAGTGAATTAAATCATCCCTGAAGTGTTCAAATTCATGTACTGTTGAATCACATTCTTCATCTTTGATTGAAAAGCAGAATGACTGTCTTATCTTAGTTTTATCTCCATGGAGAGCTAAAGACAGCTACTGTCATCTTGTATGGCAAGTCTGTTGTACTTGGGACATCTTGCGTCGGAAGACTAAGAGTATTGTAATTTTTAAGTGCAGTCTTCTCAAAAGCAGGATAAAAAGCTCTGGGAAGAAAAAAAAAAAAAAAAAAAAAAAAAAAAAAAAAAAAAAAAAAAAAAAAAATAAGAAAATCATTCCTTAAATTGCAAGTCAGACGGAAAGGCGCACTTCTTTGCCGCTTTATTTCCAGAGAGAAGAAAAACAAAAGGCATAATGGAATGCAACTGTTTATGATAAAAACCACAATTAAAATAAAGCATCACAAATAATGTCAGCTTGCTGTAATTAAAAATTAAAGCACAGAACTGATGGCCTTCAAGGAGGTTCTCGCTGTTTGCTAGAATCCATATGCTTGTTCAGATACCGTGTTGATAATTGTTTAAGAAATGTTGATAGACCTAAAGAGTTGAAATATTGGTGGGCTAACTGTAAAATAGCAACAAAAACATTTTACTGATGAAAACAGATACGTTCATGACAATGCTTTTAAAAAATAAATATATATAGTTTTTAAAAAATAAATATATATAGTTTGCATTATGAAAATGAAGCGTGACCTGGAGTCAAGGCCCATAAATGAGATAAAAAGGAAACTGCTGTGGTATCTGGTCACTGATGGCCCCACCTTTCCTCTTCTTCTGTGGTTCTCTGTGAAGAGAAGAGCCCCACCATTCACATCGAGGCTTTGAGTGAACAATTGCATCAGTTTGGGTGCAACTGCCCAACAACAGGAGCCTTCAGGAACGTCACCAGCCCAGAGACAGGGTTCAGCACAGCTGGAGAAAAGATGTAAAGTGGCTTTTGTTTGTAGGATGCCCCCAAATACCTGTGAATTACCCAGCTAGCAGCCTAAAACAGAGCAGTATTGAATGGGCAATAAGCAAAAGGATCGGCCCAGTGAGATCTTCATTTTTATGCTGGGGGGAGTGTGTCAAAAGTAATGCCTTTGCTATTAAAAATTAATTGTCTTAAGCAGTATATTACATTAAAACGTAAATTTGCAGCTCACTCTTTTAAGGTGCTGAACCGTATGGCTTTAATCCATGGAGGCATTAATGCATGTACTTAAACTTTGTACGTGTGTAGTCTTACTGATGGGAGCACCTCACTGAAAGGGGCCAGATTACGAAGCCTCTTTGAGGATCAAGCCCTCAAGAAGCAGTTTAGGCCAAAGACATCAGAGCAGGCTGGAGTTTAGGGGTGTTATTTGCATTTTGAATGAAAGCATTTTAGTAATTTAATCACTTTTGAAAAGCATTGTACAGAGGCCATCACTAGTCATTTTGAGGAACTAAGTCCTCTTAATTCTTTACCCTTCCACTTATTCACAAATTAACTTTAAGGAAATCTTGCCATGCCTCAGCTTTTCCATCTCTACAATTCTTACCCCAGAGGGCTATTGTGCCTGTCATTGGATAATGCTGGTAAAGCACTCAGAAGATCTTGCACTGGTATATATATTCTAAGAGAAATTATTATTGCAGTGTTAGTACCATAGGAAGTTTGGTACAAATCCATGAACTATTACCAATGCTTACAATTCTTTAAACACAATCTCCAGCATAAAGACATTAAACGTAAGAAACAGTCGACTACTTTAGCACACAGTTTCTAAAACCTTTATTCTTACAGCTACATTATATTCAGATGCCAGAATATGTCCAAACCCCTATTTTTATTTTAAGCTTGACTGATTTATTGATGCCTGTGCTTAATTTTTAAAACATTTTCTCCTTTAGAAATTAGTCTCTGTCAACCTTTCTAATGTACACAGTCTGGAGTCACAGCGTTCATCTTAAGCAGCTTAGCATTAAAGTTTAATTCTGCAGTCTTTACCCTGGCTGTGTAGAACAGTTTGATAGTTTATGTCTTTTGCAATCAGTATCTAACACATATTCTTGTATTCTCGACTGCACTGATATTAAGCTGCCATTCTCCTCCACTCTATTTTCTGTTTGTTTGGTTTTGGTTTTTGTTGTTTTTTTTTTTTTTTTTTTTTTTTTTTTTTTTTTTTTTCCCCTGTAATTTCTACCTGGTTTAATACCCATATAATTTTTCAATAACAGGTAATTTTGAAGGCCAGCAATGGAAATGCTGAAGCACGCAGGTCCCCCTTTGGATGCTGGAGTTCACGACATGCTTTTGAATCAGATTGTCTGAGCACCTGTGGACATCATCTGTTTATTTGCTTCTGGGGGTCATCCCTTTGCCACCAAGGGCTTTAGTCACACCAGTCCTTAGTGTCATGAGGGGCTCCTTTCCCACAGAGCAGACCTTCATACACACATTATTCTTGTTTTAACAAGCATAAACAATATCTTAGCTCTGTCTCACACTTCATATAGGACAAAATAAAACATGGGGTGCCTTATACACTGACGCATGCTCCCCAGGGGAATATAAATCAGTTTAAATGCACTGGGTTTTTTTTTCATTTTTCATGTCCTCTGTCTACATTTATACATGTTGTACATATATATCTCTTATACACCCCAGGTTATGCTATCTGCTAGAGTCCACACTCAAGCAAAACCCTTTTTAATCTAGAAGAGTTTTAACGCTCTTACTCTGAAGTACATGGAGGTTGGGTAGGTCCTGATTCAACAAAATATATGCTTAACATTAGCCCGTGCTTATCTTCTATTAAACCTAATAGGACTAGGCACTTGTTTAATGTTAATTATACACTCATGTGTTTTATGGATTGGGGCCTGGATTACTTATTTGATTACAATTAGGCTTGTGATTGCATGTTCACTGAGCTGCGACTATTCAGCAATGACTGACTGCTTGCCTGCTTCCCACATA